CGCGCTCCCCCAGGCGATGTGTGACAGGTCGGAGGCAGCGGCCCCGGCCTCTGCACAGCAACTCGGCTTCTTCTCCTGGAGGTTGGCGCATCCAAGCGCCTCCTGTCCGAGCCAGCAAGTGTCCAGCCGGAGCACCCCGGGCGAGCCCGTCCAAGGGCGCGCTTGTCCCCAGGCTGGCTCCCTCCTGCCCTGTCCCCCCTCGGGCCCCCACCGCCCAGGCTGATGGCCCCGGGTCAGGCCTGTGGCTGATGGGGCCCTTTACCACGGCTCGCACCTGATGGGCCCGTCCATGTTCCGGGCGCCAAATCCACCGCCTGGCCACTGCGTGCAGCTGGAGGCGCCACAGCGCGGGAGCTGGCCGGGGTCCCAAGGGCTGCGTGCCCCGGGCGGTGTGGTCGGGGCCACTGCCACCGGCCGTCACTGCTGGTCGATGCCCCAGCAGGGCCACTGGCATCGGGCAGTACAATGTCCACCGCCCACTGCTGCTGGCACGGCCCACAGGCAGTGCTCGGGGCCAAGCGCCGGTGCCCTGGGGGGGCTGTCTCTGGTTTCAGAGTGACGCGAAACCTGAGATTTGCCTTCACAGACCCGCTCCCCCCAAAGCAAAGGCCGAATGAAGCAAGATAAGCAGCGGGTGCCGGTTTCGCGCCGGGGGAGGGCACCAAGGATGAGTCACGCTTTCCCTCTGCCGTGCTGGACAGTGGCCGCCGTGAAAAGTTAAATAAAAGATATAAATAGTTGGGAGATTCAGATGGCTGCTGTGGGAGCGGTTCTGTGCGGCGGGCTGCCTCCGGGGGGCCCGCGCGCACTTGGGGTGCAGTCGTTGGCCACTCGCCTGGAGACAGACCCCAGCAGCGGTACAGCCCTGCGGCTGCCGGTGCTCCCTCCCGGGTGCTCCCTCCTGGGTGCTCCCTCAGCCCCGGAGGGCGGCGCTCTGCCCCGAGCGCAGTGGGGACACGTCGTCTGAGGCGGGGGCTCGGTGGCACAGTGCCAGGCGAGCGACGGGCATGTGGACATCAGCACCAGTATCTTGTCTTCTGTAAATCACCGGGGTCCCATCTGACTTTGCTGTTTCCTCCTCCTCTCGAACCTTCCCTGTGAAGAGCAGGTGCGGCCCTCTTAGCGCCGGCCCGCGCCCCACGGAGCAGAAGAGCCGCCTGCAGCTGTCTCGGGACCTGTGCACACGGTGGTCTCGATGTGGGGGCGCCTGAGGTTGCATGCGCACTGTCCCCCGGCCGTGTCTCCCCTGCGCCCCAGAGCGGCCGCCCGCCCGCGCGCTTCTGGAGTGAGGGGTGGCGCCCGGCCAGCCCCGGGGTGAGCTGGCGGCGGGGGGCTCCTGCGGCGCTGCGGGCGAGCACATCGCAGTCAGAACCTTCCTCGCGCCTGGGCGCTCTGGGGCGCTGGCTCTCCCCGGGCAGCCCTCCCACGCCGCGTGTGCTGCTTGGGACGGGGCGTCTGTTCGGGGCAGTCGCTGTCGCGCTCTGAACCCCCGAGCCCGCGTTTCCCATCAGCATCTGGTGGGTTGGCGTGACCAGCTTTCCTCCGCCGCGTCGCCGTTTACGATTTATTATGAACATTGAAAGAAGCGCGGAAGGGCCTCGCAGGAGTTTCATCACGAACTGCTGGCCCGCGGCCCCGGGATCCACGTTCCGCCGGACCAGGCCTGGCGCTCGGCGCGGGCTGGAGGAGCCGGGGCTGCTCTTCGGGGGCTCCGCGCGCTCCTCGGGCGATCGCGAGCTCACGTGTCCTCGTCTCTCCTTGGGAAAATTATCCCAGTTACGTGAGTCAGGCTTCTGGCCAAGTGGGGCGCGGGGGCCTGGGGGGGTCACACAGCCCCCCGGGACTCGAAGACCGGTGCGAGCCGGCGGGCGTGGGACCGGCCTTCCCGCCTCCAGCTGCTGTGGGTGCGGGGAGCGGGGCCCGCCGCGGGGAGGCCCCAGGGAACCCTCCCGCGCACGCGGCCGGCCGTTGGCGGGTGGGCGCAGCGGGGTGGAGAGGGGCCCCCGGCGGGGGAGATGCCGGCCCCGCTGGCTTCCTGCGGCGCCCACGACAGGGGACTGTGGACGCGGTGGCTTAAAAGCAGGTGGATTCACGACACCCCCCCCCCCCACGGCGCTGGGGGCGGATGCGCCCTCCCCTCGGCTGCAGGCGTCGCCTGCGCGGCTCTTTGGGGACACTCGCTTGTCCTTGGGTGGAGGGCTGCCCAGTCCATCCAGGACGACCTTCCTCTGCTCCGGATCCTAAACGCGCGCCATTTCCAGGACCCGCACACGGCGCGCTCGCGGCCTCGGGAGGGGGGCTGCGGGCACTGCGCCCGCCGCGAGCAGCCGTCCCCGGGGCGGGTGTTGGGGGCTTCTGGTGTCAGGAGCGGGCGTGCTGTCTCGGGGCGGGCCCCGGGGCCTGTTCACTTCTCCGTGCGCATTCGCTGCTCCGGGAAGACGCAGTGCCTGGTGAACGGGTGACCAGGTGGGCGAACCAGCGCCGGGGGCCGCGGTGCCCCGAGGGGGGCCAGAGGTGAGCGTGGGCCCCACGCTCGGGGGCTCTCAGGCTGGGGAGGTTGAGAAAGACTCTGGGCGTCACGGGGGTCTCAGTAGCTCAGCCAGGTTTGGGGGCGGATGAACTTCCAGGTTGGGAGCCACAGATGAAGAGGCTTCGTGTGCCAGACAGCATGTCTGCTTGCTTCGAGATTGATTTATTTGTGCATACAAGAGCTGGGGCACCGGCCAGAGGTGTGGGGGGTGAGAGGACCCACCAGAGACAGAGTGGGGAGCAGAACAGGCAGACTGACGAAGTGCACTGCTGAGGGGAGCAGCGGGGAGACAGGAGAGGTCTGCGCGCCATGTGGGAATCTCCCTGGCCGGGCATCGAACTCAGGCCGCAGCGGCTGCAGGTGGCTCCACGGTGCTGAGACTTACCCCTTGCGCCACCAAGGAGGCCCGGTGTTTGCTGGTGAACTCGAGTGGGGGTCGCGCGCGTCTGCGCACACCCCATCGCCGCCTGGATTTTGAGCTTTGGTTTCAAGGCCCCCCAGGGCTGTGGGGACTTTCCACGCGCTGGCGCGGTGATGCGCGGGGTGTTCACTCTGTCGAGATTGGGGTCACATCCGGGTAAGGGCTGGGGGGGCCTCTGGATCACCCCGTGGAGCGTCCGCGTGGCACCGGTGGGCAGGCCCGGATGCAGGGGCAGTGCCAGCCTGGGCCCTGTGCCGGCCGGCGGGGTGCGGGGGCTCCTGTCTCTGGCCCACGCGCCTCTCGGCGCAGCCCCGCACGCTGCGGGGCCGGGTGTCTTCTCTTCCTTACCCACGTGGGTCCTCTGTGGACACCGCCCCCCAGGGCTGGCGGGGTGGCGCTCCCGCCGGCAGGGTGTGGGGACACCTTTCCTCGCGTGGCGGAGGCCGCGTTCACGCCCGAGTCAGCACCGCGCAGAGCGGGAGGAAGGGCGAGTCGCTGGGGACCCCCCGGCCCCCCCCGCTGGGCGCCGCAGCAGGTGGCTGTTGGGGCTGCCGGCGGGGTCTCCCTGCGGAAAGGAAACTGACGCGAACCCCAGCACTGCAAAGAAGCGCCTCCCGCGGGGAGAGCCCCGCGAGGTGTCTGGTGCGCAGCAGGGCCCCCCGCGGTGGGCGACACGCGGGCTGCTCGGGGTCTGCTCTGGGAGCCGCCGGGGCCCGGCTGAGGCGCGCGCTGTGCCCCGGCCCGACCCGCTCGCCCCGCTCTGCGGACGCCGGGACCTGGCCGGCTGTGACACCCCGCTTCCACCGCCTCGACCGGCGCTGGGGGGGACCAGCCGCTCCCCGCCGCGTGGCCCCTGCGGTGGTCGCGCGAGGCCTGGCGCTGCCCCCAGCGTGCGCCGGCGGCCGGGCGGGTCTTCCCCGGAGTGTCCTTTGGTGTCTCCCGACTCTGGCGACGGTGGCTTTTCCTGTGGCGGCGCAAACGAGCCGCCCTTGGGTGCCCGCGGGGGGATGGGGGGGCTGTCCCCGGCTCGCGCCTGGAGGTTGGTCCGCGGGTCCCCGCCGGGCCGTGTGGGCCCCTTCCTGGCCCTTCTGCGCCTGGCCGCGGTCCCGACGCGAAGGGGGCTGGGGCGCCGCTGTCTTCCCAGGGGGCGCCTCAGGAGCCCCGCGCTCACTGGGCACCTTGGCTCGGCTCTGGGAGACCCGCCTCTGGGATCGCGCAGACCCGGCGCGGGGCCCAGGGCCATCTGCACAGAAGGCTCCGCGCTCACTCCCTGGGTGGCGTCTGGCCTGAGCGCCTGGGGGCGCGGCGTGCCCGAGACAAGGTGCCGCCTGTCGTGCCCTCCCGGCGCGGGGCGCGGGTGGCCGCGGGCTCGGCTGGCCCGGGAGGACCCGGCTGACGGGAGGGGGAGCCGCTGCCGGAGGAAGGAAGTCGCCGCACAAACAGCCCGGGTGGGCGTAGCGCGCCTGGCCCCAGGGTGAGGCAGCGCCCCCGAGAGAGCCCGGGCCACGGGGGGCCCAGGACGCGCTCGCGTGGAGATGCCAGCGGGCAGGGGCGGGGACGTGCCTCCCTCCGGGCAGCCCTGGTGGTCCTCGCACCGGCCCTCCCCGCTGCCCGGGGTCAGGGCTTCCCGGGTGAGCCGGCACGGCGCGGGGGGACGAGCCGACCCCCGGGCAGCCCTGGGGAGAGGGCGCAGCAGGCCCGGGCGACTCCCCGCGTCCCCCGGCCGCAGGGCTGAGCTGGCGCTGCCGCCCGGCCTGCCGCCCCGCCCGCCGGTCCTTCCCCTGGCGGCCGCGACTCCCGGGCTCCCGCCGCGCGGGGTCTGGCCCGGAACCTGCGCCGCGCTGGCCGGGGAGGTCGGGGGCTCGCGGGGCCCGCGCGGGTCACCGGGCGGCGGGAAGGGGCCTCGGCAGGGACGGGGCGCGGCGTCCGCAGCCGAAGCGAGGGCTCGCGCGGAGCTGGAGGCGGCCGCCCCGCCCGGGGTGCCCGCGGGGGCGCGGGGGTGCGCGCCCGGCGGCTCCCTGGGCCCTCACGGCCCGTCTCTTCCCGCAGACGCAGAACGTGCAGCTGAGCAAGGAGATGACGCTCGCCGGCAACCGGAGCCTGGCCGAGGGCAACCTGCTCTACCAGCCGCGGCTGGACTCGCTGAAGGCGCGCCTGACGCAGCGGTACCGGGAGCTGCAGGCGCTCCTCGAGGCCTGCCAGCTGAAGAAGACCCGGCTGGGTAAGGGGCGCGGGGGCGGGAGGCCGCGTCCCTGGGGAGCGTTTTCCCGGCGGCCCGTGCGCCCCAGGCCGGCTCCCGCGTGGACTCGGGCCCGCGTTCTGCCCGCGGCGTCCCTGCCCCGCAGCGAGGGCGCTTGGTTCTCGGGGTCGACCCGGGAGTCGCTGCCGCGGAGGCGCCGGCACGGGCTGTGGGCCACGCTCTAGCCCGCGGCCTCGTGGACAGGGAGGCCCGGCCGCGGCCCGAGTTCTGGGCGCAGATGCCCCCGGGCGCTTGGAGCCTGAGAGGTTGCGGGGTCCCCTGGTGAGGGTCGCACCGTGATGCCGCGGCCCCCGTCGGCAGACACGGGGGTCACGCGTCCAGCCGGAGTGTGGGAGGGGGTGAGGCTGGCAGGACCAGGCGGGCGCCGCCCCCAGCGCACGGCAGGGCCACGCACCTGCCCAGCTGCAAAGCGGGCCGGCTGGCCAGTCCCACGCTGGGCACAGGGTCACCAGGTGGACAGTCTCGGGGGACACGTGAGCATGCGCGAGGCCGCCCGTGCCGCCAGGGCTGGAGGCCGTCTGGGCGCTGCGGGCCGGGCCTGGCGTGCTCCCGCGCGGGTCATGCAGGCGCTGCCCCGCAGCAGTAGGGACCGTCCTGTATCCTCGTGGGCCGTGGTGGTCGGCCCCCCAACATGTGGGATTCGGGGTGAGCGTGCGAGCGAGTCGTCATCCCGCAGCACGGGGAGGGGAAGGCGGCGAGGGCGGGTCCCGAGTGCGCGCTCTGGAGGGCGGTGGGCTGGGGCTGAGGCCGAGCCTGATACCCCTCGCCCCCTGCTCCCCCAGACCAGCAGTCGAGCAGCGCTTCCTTGGAAACCCTGCTGGCGCTTCTCCAGGCCGAAGGGGCCAAGATCGAGGAGGACACCGAGGTAACCGGCCAGGGCCAGCAGGGGGTGTGGGGCCGACCTGCCCCCTGGGAGGGTGGGGACGGGGCCCTTCCGGGCTGAGCGCCGCTGTCGGGCTTCGGGCTGCTCCCCCCGGGGCTGGTGCACCTGCCCCCCTGCCCCCAGCTGCCCCAGCAAGGTTTCCCCTGCTTCTTCCAGAACATGGCCGAGAAGTTCCTGGACGGAGAACTTGCCCTGGACGCCTTCATCGACGTCTACCAGAGCCAGCGCAAGCTGGCCCACACGCGGCGGGTGAAGATCGAGAAGCTCCAGGAGATGGTGCTGAAGGGGCAGAGACTGCCGCAGGCCCCGGCCCTGCCGCTGCCCCGGGTGCCCGAGCCGGTGCCCACCGCCCCCCTGCCCTACCCCGCCGCGGAGGCCAGCGGGCCCCCCTCCGTCCTGCCTCGGCGCGTCCCTCCCCCACCGCCCCCGGTGCCCGCGGGACGCTTGGCCACACCTTTCACGGCCGCCGTGGGCCCAGGACCGGCCCTCCCGTACCCAGGACTCCAGTGCCCCCCGCTGCCGCCCCGCGCGGGCCTGCCCCCCCAGCAGGGATTCTCCGCGCAGCTCGTGTCGCCGCCGATCCCACCGGCGCTCCCGCAGAGGCCCCCGCCCCGGCTGCCCCCGCACCAGCCGGGCTTCATCCTCTAGTGGGCCCGGCTGCGCCCGCCGCCTTTCACCCTGGGCCGGGGTCGGTGGGCGCGGGCGCCCCGGTGGCTGTGCCGGGCTAGCCTGGCGCCCCTGCTTGCCTTCCCGGTGTGGGGGGTGGCGCGCAGCGGCGGCCTGGAGGACAGCGCCCGCCTCCCCTCACGGTGGAGCCCCTTCTCCGGGCAGCTTGGGCTGACGAGCCCGCGGGCTCTCCTCCAGCCCGCCCCGAGGGCCCGAGCCAGCCAGGCGGGCGCTCCCGAATCGTGGGGTGGGGCCGGTCACCCCTCCTCCCTGAACCTGGGCGCTCCTGCCGCCTCAGGCCGGGTTTGCACTTGGCGGCAGCGGGACGCGGCTGGGGGGCGCCGTCCCGGCTGCGGGTTTCTATGAAGCCCCCCACCCCCGCCCCTTCACTGTGTGGTTTTCCTGTTTTGTTGGGAAGGAAAGTGTCCACACGAGGCCTTTCAGGGAGCGTTGGAGGACGCGCGCTGCTCGCAGCCGACCCGAGGGCCTGCGCAGGCCGCGTGCGCCGCCCCCGACGAGCCGCTGTGCCTTAGCTCCGGCCGGGGCGGGGCCGGCCTCGGCCCCGGGCGGGCACCTGCCGCCGGGCCGCGTCTGCGTCCAGCGGGGCCGCGAGCCGAGGTGCCGCCCCGCGCCCCGGCCTCAGCCCGCGACGGGCCGCGACGCCCGGATCTCGGGCTGCTCGGGGGCCACCGTGGGGCCGGCCCTGCCCGCCTGCCCCCGGGCTCGCGCGCCTGTGCGGGCGGGGGCGAGTCGGGGCCACCGTGTGCTGACCGGTGACCCGTGTGGACGCTGACCTCTGACCCCGCCCCTGCCGTGCCAACCCGGGCCCGCCCGGCGGACCCTGCCCGCTACCTCCGCGCCCGCCCGCCCGGCCGGGGCCGCCCGCGGCTTCGCGGCACAGCAGACGCGGAGGGGGCGCCGCGGCCTCGCCGGAGCCCTTTGCAAGGCGGTGGGACCCTTTTTAATAAAGAGAACCATGACTGCCCGTCCCGTCCTGTTCCTGGGGCGCCGCGGCCGCGAGTGGAAGGAAAAGCCACTTGCGCTCCCCCCCCCCCCACGCGGGCGGCTCCCGGCCGCGCTGTGGCCGCCGCTGGGCCAGCGCTCTGCGCGCACGTCGTTCCGCCGCGGCTTCTCTCCAGCGAATTCGCGCCCGTCCTAGCGGCTGCCGGGACGCTGGGAGCCTCCCGGGCGGCGACGGGCGGCGGTGGCGCCTGCCGGCCCCGCCCGCCCCTCGACCAGGCCCCGAGCACACAGCCACAGCGCGGCCCCCCTCGCCCCCCGTGGCTACTGACCTGCTGCAGGCGGCCGGGAGCCCCGGGGCCGGGCACCTCCCAAGTCCGCGAAGGAACACGAGGGCTGCGTGGGGCCCGACGGTCACGGCCAGCCCAGCCCGGCGAGGGGCGCCAAAAGCTCAGATGGCCTCAACTCCCCAGAGCGCGGGGCTCGGGGTCCTGGGGGGGGGCGGCGGAGCGACACCCCAACCCCACCGCATTGCGCGGGGGTGCCCGCAGCGCGGCCCGCGGACACCGGCTCCCTACCCAGCGCCCCCGCCCCGAGACAGTGAGCAGCGGCGCGGCCCTCCCCGGGGCCTGCAGACAACAGTCAAGCGCTGTCCTTTATTGCCAGCCCGCGCCCCACGCCGGGCCCCCTGCTCCCCGCCCCATCGCGGCTTCCTGGGCTCCGGTGGCGGCTGGGCCTCGAGAACGCCCCTCGGCCCCCGCCACGGTCACACGCAGCCTCCTCCGCCTCCAGGCCGGGCCCCCAGATCCTTCCGGGGGCGGCCCCTTTCTGGGGCACAGGCTCTTGGCGGCGGGAGGGCCTGAGGGGGTGGGGTGGGGTGGGGTGGGAGGTGGGACCCCGATACCAGGGGAGGGGGAGACGCCGGGTCAGGGCAGCACCTGTGGGCGGGGCCTTCGCCCGACGCCGCGTGTCCTCCAGCCAGGCCAGGCGGCGGCTCCAGTCCCCGGCCGGGCTCGCCAGGCTGCTCCGCAGACGCGCCCCGGCCGGCTGCCCTTCCGTCCCCCTGGCCTCAGACCCGGAGTCAGGACGGCAGGGGCGGCCCTGCTTCCCGGCGTGAGCTCAGGCTCGCGGGCGTGGGCCGTCCCGGTGTCCGCGCGTGTCCCGGCGGCGCTCAGGCGCAGGTCCGGGCACTGAGGCCCGCGGCGGCCAGCCCCGGAGTCCAGCACGGGCTGCGGCGGCCGCGGGGCCCTGGAGTGGGGATGCGGCCCCGCTGTGGCCCCGGCCTCGCAGGCTCCTTGGCCGAGTCGGGGCAGCGCGCAGCCTCCGGCCGGATGGCCCCGGGGGCCTAGTAGTGCGCGAGTGGGGCCTGAGGGGCGCCATCCTTCCTGTCGAGCGGCTGGAATCAAAGGCGGTGGGTGGGAGAGGAAGTCAGTGGGCAAGGCCAGGTGTGAACCCCACCTCTCCTGGGCCGTGACCCCCCACGGCTAGGGCCGCAGACCTGCTCAGACCCCGGCGGGAGCCCCGTCCTGCCCCAGCACCTGCTGGTCCGTCCTCGGGGCCACGCTGGGCTTCTGGGCCAGGGGAGGCTTCCTGGAGGTGCCGCTGCGGGGGGCAGCGCTGGGCCGGCCAGGCTCCTCCTCCTCCTCAGGCGCCCCCGGGGCGCCCCCCGCCAGCGCGTAGTGCTGCTTGCGCAGCTCCCCCAGCCGCACGCGCTCCGCCTCCAGCGTCTTCTCCAGCTCCAGCACGCGCACCTGCAGCCCACACGGCGCTCAGCATCGCCCCAGGCCCTCCCGCCGCCTCGGAGCTCGGCCCTGGCGCCCGAAACCGGGCGGCCGGGGTGGGGTGGGGGTGACGCCCACCTGGGTCTCCATCTCCTGCTTCTTCAGCTTGATGAGCGACAGCCCCGAGAAGTCCATGGTGTCTGCAGTCCGGGGGGAGGGGGAGGGAGGTAAGCGGCTGGGCGCCCCGACCTCCCCTCCCCCAAATCGGGGCCCCGGCACTGGCCTCGGTCCTCGATCTGCTCCTGGCCCGACTTGGCGGAGGCCACCACGCCAGCGGCCCTCTCGTTGACGGCGCGGGAGCACTCCTGCAGGCGGCCCAGGTGGGGGCTGTGCTTGCTGGCCTTCACCTGGCACAGCGAGGGGCCGCTCAGGGGGCTGCTCAGGCGAGCCCTGCCACCCCCCGGTCTCCAGCCAGGGCTGCAGGGGCCCGGCCAGGCCGCGGCCTACCTTGGAGGCCGCCACCAGCTGGGCCGTGCTGGCCGCGATCTCGTGGGAGCAGACGATGAGCTCCTCGCACTTGCCCGTGTGCAGCACCACCCTGTCCGCGGACTCCCTGGGGGTGGGCCGGGCAGGGTCTGGGTCTCTGGCCCCACGGTCTCTGCCACCCCCAGCGCCTCCCCAGACCCGGCGCCCCACGCCCCACTGCCCCCCGCCTGGGGCACATACACCAGCTGCGAGGCTCCCCAGCCCACGGCCTTGGAAGCCGAGATGAGGCCTTCCGTCCAGCGCGAGTTCTTGGCGTAAAATTCCTGCTGCGTGGCTGCCCCCTGGTGGCGGCGGGAGGCAGAGCGCCGTCAGCGGCATCGCACCCCACAGGGCCCCTCCTCCCCGCCAGCCTCCAGGGGGCGCCCCTGGGCCGAGCCCGGGCGTCAGCAGATGGCGCACACCGGGTGCCTGGGGAGTCACGTCCCTGCACACTCGTCCCTGCACACTCGTGGCTCAAGCCACATGGTGCGGTGGGCGCTGGCTCGCGCCCCTCCCTTTCAGGAACTGCCCTCGCTGGCGGCTCACCCTGCCGCTCTCCACGATCTCCTTCTGCAGGCTGGTGGACGTCATCACCAGGAGTCGGATGGCCTGCCAGAACGAGGTGCAGGTCACTCTCCGGGTGGGCCCCCCAGGGGCAGAGTCCACCCCGGGCCCCAGCTGGCCACTCACCTTCATCAGGTCTGTGCAGGAGTTGAGGATCCTGGAGGAGCAGGAGCAAGCACAAGGAGAGACAGGTTGGCGGCATGGCGGGAGGCCACGGAGGGGCCGGTGGGGGGCAGGCCCTGCTCCGTCCCCGTCCTCTGGAGATCCAGGCCACCAACAGGGTGGCCCCCGGATCTGGGATGGCAGACGTGGACTCACCTCTCGTTCACCTCCAGCTTCACCCCCGAGCTGGCATGGCGCGCCTGGTTCATCATGTCCTGTACCCGACGACAGAGCCATGAGCCGGCTGGGAGGGCGGCGTGGTGGGCGGGGGGTGGGTCGGCTCCCGGGATGCCCCAGAACAGCCCCTGCTGCTCCCAGCTCTGGGAGGCTGTGCTGGCCCCTCTGCCCAAGCCGCGTGCTCTGGGCCCCTGCGGGAACTGTGGGGCGCCGTGCGCTGTCCTCACCTCAATCCTCCGGACAGCGTCCTCAATGGCGGCAGACGTGGCTGCCATCTCCTTGTCCACCATGGTCCCCAGCTCCTCCTGACGCACATCCAGGCTCTTGGGCTTTAGCTCCTGGAGGAGGAGGATGTCTGGGAGTTGCTGAGGGACCCGACCCCCAGCAGCCCCGAGAAGCCTGGGAAGCAGCTTGGGGCGGCAGCGTTCAGGGGGGGTGTGCACGCCCCACAGCTGCAGGCTGTGCGTGAACAGCTGTTCAATTCAGATGAGGGGCAGAGAACGGGGGGACCCACACGCCATGCGGGCGCAGCCGCACATCTCACCTGGCCCAGTTGGAGGATGCCACGCAAGGGGGCCCGCACCAGGTCAGGCTGGGCCTGCAGCAGAGCCTGCCGATCCTGCAGCTGCCCCGCGAGCTCCAGGGCCCGGGCCCCGCACTCCCTGCAGCTGTCAACCAGGCCTGGGGGAAGAGGGTGCCTGAGAGGCCTGGAGGAAGGCCCTGCACACAGGCCCAGCCCAGGGTCTGAGAAGGACCTTGCAGTGCTCCCCCCCTTTCCTGGCCCCCACGAGTCGAGCTGGAAAGGTGACTGCCGCCGCCGCCCAGGGCCACTCACAGTCAGCAGGGTCGGTGGGGGCCAGGTGGGAAGTGGCGCTGCCGTTGACAATGGTGTCCGCCGTGAGGTGGGTGAACTGGGTGAGGGCTGCCACCAGGGCAGAGGCGTCTGCAGGGAGGAGAGCAGAGACCCCCAATGCTGCCGCCACCCAGTGCCCCATTTAGGGCCAGGAGGGGAGCTCAGCGTGGGGTGCAGGGGCCATGCCCTCCGGCTGGCCAGCAGCAGAGCAGGAACCAAAGCTGGGGGGTGTGGGCTCACCTGCAGGGGAGGACAGGTACTGGGCGTGGCCCTTCTCCAGGGCCCCCACGGCATCCAGGGCTGCCTGGGCCCGGCTCACCAGGTAGTCTGCAAGCACAAGAGACTGAAGGCAGTGCCCATCTGCACCGTGCACCCTTCCCAGGGCGGGGCAGGCGCGGCCTGCCAGGCAGGAGGCGGGCCCTACCCGGGGAGCTGGTGCAGCGCAGGTGCAGGGGGTCGTCCAGCTTGCCCACGGCGTCCTGCAGGATGCGCTCGGCCTCGGCAGCCGCGCCCCGCAGCACCGCAAACTGCTCATCCAGGAGCCTCTGCTGCAGCCCCTGCTCCTGGGACTCCTAGGGGACAAAGGCAGCTCGGAGACCCCGCCCCAGGCCAGAGACGCCCCACTCCACCCCCAGTGACCGGGCGTTTCCTCAACTCAAAATAAAAGGCCAATTAGAAAGCAGGCGAAGAACACACAGGCCTTTCTCCCCAGACACAGGCAGCGCTGAGCCGTGAGCACGCCAGCACCGCGGCCAGCAGGGAGGGGCCAGCAAGCCCGCAGTGAGAGGTGGCCTCGGCCGCGGCCTGCGCCTCGCACCCCCAGGCCGGCTACAATGACGAGAGGGAGGAAGTGCTGGCGAGCAGGCAGGGAGGCGGCCCTCACAGTCTGGGGGGATGTAAAAGGCCGCATTTGGAAGACATTTTGGTGCATCCTCCAAAGGCCACACATCGAGTTGCCACAACCCAGCAGCTATTCCAGTCCTGGGTACAGACCCGAGGGGGACCCTTGTGCACAAGTGTCCATGGCGGCAGCATCCACAACAGCCAAAGAGTGGAGACCAGCCGCGTCCGCGCGAGGCCCCAGGAGGAGCGCCCTCGAGAGCGTGGCGGTGAGGGACAGAGGGGGCCCAGCGGACTCCACTCACAAGACGTGTCCCGCACAGACCGCCCCACGGACAGCCGTTGCCAGGGCCACAGGAGAGGGCAGGGGACATGGGAAGGGTGTTTCGGAAGGGTGAGCATGTTCTAGAAGCACAGGATGTACAATCTTTTAAACGCAGAGACCCCGACTTGCCCGGCCTCATGGCCGGCCGTGCGGCGTGAGGGCCGCTACCTTGTGGGCCAGCCGTCCCTGCAGCTCGCCCCTCTCCCGGGCGCTGCGCTGCTGCTCCTGGCTCAGCGCCGCCTCCTTCTCCCGCACCAGGCTCTGGGCTTCCAGCAGGTCGGCCTCCCGCTGCCGCATGGTGCTGCTCAGCGCGTCCTTCTCTGTGCTCACCGCATCCAGCCGTGAGCTCAGCTCCTGCCCGCTCTGTGGATACCCTGGCATGAGCGTCCAGGCCCCACCTGCCGCCACCGCCCCGAGCCTACAGACGCTGCTCAGGGCCACGGCTTCATGACCCCGGGGCTGAGGCTTCCTGAGGGCAGACCCGGCCTCCTGCTGCTGGGCAGAGCAGCACCGCAGGGCTGACAAGGCCCCTCTGACCAACCCAGTGGCACTGAGGCATGGCTTGGCTCACAGGAAGGAGCCGGACTCCAGTCCCACCCGCCGGCGCCGCACCTGCTGCTCACGGCTCAGGGCCTCCTGCACGCACACCAGCTCCCCTGCCTTGGCCGCCAGCTCCCGCTTGAGCTTCTCTAGCTGGTCGCTCTGCTCCTCCAGCTGGGACAAAGCAGCTCGTCAGTGGGCGCTGGGGGGCCAGGGCAAGGCCTGGAGTGGGGGCCCTGGGGGTGGCCAGGTAGGAAGACGCACCTTCATCTCAGAGGCCCGTTTCACCTGCTCCACCTGGAAGGCCAGCTGCTCCTTCACCCGCGCCACCTCCTCCTGGCTCTGCTGCGTCACCGTCAGCTGCTTGGCCGTGTCTGCATTCTGACGGAGGACGGAGGGACAGGCTCAGGCCGCCGCTGGCCCCTCCTGCGGCTCCGCCCAGGGCATGGCGCACCCCCGCGGCCCACCTTCCTGAGCAGCTCCGCGTGCGTGTTGACGAGCTCGTTGTGCTTCTCCTTCAGCCGGTTATAGCGGGCCTCGGTGGCGCTGGCCTTCTCTGCAGGTGAGGGTGCATGACTGGGGGCCCAGAGCCCTCGGCCCGGCCCGGCCCACCCGCACCTCACTCACTCTCGGCCTCCTCGCGCAGGCCCTGGTTGCGAGCACCCTCCTGTTGGGCAGCCCTCAGCTGGGCCAGCTCGTGGCGCAGCTGCTCGTTGTCCACCAGGGCCCTCTGCTTCTGCTTCCGCTGCTCCTCCAGCTCGGCCTCCAGCCCGTTCACCTGGCCCTTCAGCTGCGAGATGTACCGCTGGGCCTGCGGGGAAAGGAGGGCAGGAGGTGGGTCTGCCGGCGTGGGGCTGCCCTGCGGCCCTGCCCGCCTCCACCAGTCTCACCTCCAGCTTGATCTTGTCCAGCTCGGCCCGCAGCATCTCCACCTCCCTCTTCAGGTTCTCGATCTGGAGGTCCCTGGGGACAGAGGCAGGCGGGCGGGGGCTTCTGAGGCCCGCACAGGCCTGATTCAAGTTTGTGAACCAGGAGCAGCGGACACAGGTCAGGGCTCTGGGTTGCTTGAGGGGCCCTCGGGGCCAAGCTTGTGTCTCCCCCTGTCTGAGGCCCTCACCTGTCATCCTTCATGGAGCCGTTGGGGGGTCCAAATGTCTGGTCAAAGAGGTCGGCCACCACCTGCCACGACAAAGCCTGTCGGCTCCTAGCCCACCCCCCGCTCTCCAGGCCAGGAGGGGAGCAGGGGCCGCCGGCCACTCCCCATGGGACCGAGAGACAGGAAGCGGGCGGCTCACCGCTGGCTCCCCGGCAGGGGGGCCTGTGCTGATCTCGATGAGGTTCTCCGGCTCCTCATCCTCGGGCGCCTCCTCGGGGATCACCACCACCGGCTTGATGTGCTCGGCCAGCGCCGAGGCCCGCAGGAAGTTGGGTGGTGCCTGCGGGGGCCACAGGTGGGAGCTGCTCAGTCACCCGCCCTGCCCCCCATCTTTCCACCACCATCCCTGAGCCGGCGGGGCCCGCCTGGCACGCAGCATCCTCGATCTGGAGGCGGCCAGTGTGAGTGCAGGGCCATGCCCAGGCAGGGCGGAGGGTACCTCGGGCAGCCGGGGGATCTGGATGAGCCGCTTGAAGTAGAGCATGTCCGAGGCTCTCCGGAAGAAGTTTCTGAGGCTGTGGAGAGAGTGGGGGGTGGCATGGAGTGCCCCAGCAGGCGTGGCAGAAGCCTGAGCCTCAGAGCCTTCCCACCGCGCCCCCGCAGGTACCTGTGAAACTGCTCGTGGAACCGGTCCCTGTGGCCTTGCAGGGTGTCCGCCGGGAGACCTGGGGGCAGTGCGCGTCAGTGGGGCACCCTCTGCTCACTGCTCGCAGTCGTGACTTCCGATCCACCCCCTCCCCGCCCGCCCCCACCCGTGCCCCCATGTTCTAGAAACCAGCACAGAGAACGGGTCATCTGCCACTGGGTGCCCGAGACAAGGTGGCCACGGGGGCCTGGCTGACGCCGTGGTGAGGGCAGGACAGGGTGAGCGGGAGGAAGGGCAGAACCTCGACTGCGCGACCCCGGCGGGTCGGCCCCGCTGCCAGCACAGCCCCTCGCCCCTGGCTTGCAGGTCTCAGAGTGGGGTCTGGGGACACGGCCCTTTCAGGGGATCCACTGGGCCCCAACTCTCCGAACACTAGGGAGCCTGGGGTGTCTTCCAGCCCCAGGGCACAGGCTGAGAAGGCAACAGGCAGCGCAGAAGCAGGGAGGGGTCGCTGCCCCGCCCAGGGGCAGCTGGGAGGCCGCAAGCGCGGGCTCTGCCCCCTCCTCACTAAAGGCCTGTTTTGGAAAATACTGATCTTTCACAGAAGGTGTGAGCGTGACGACACAGAGGTCATCACTGCCGCTTCTAACGAGCAAGCGAGCATCTCCACAAGTCCGTCTCCCCGACACAGCCCGTGCGGGGCGCCGGAGTACGCACAGGCGTGCAGCTTGAACATGAGCTTGACCGTGTAGTGGTAGAGGTGGCTGCAGTCCTGGATGACCTGGATGAGCGGGGCGAGGCGGCACTGGCCCGAGGACATCTGGGACACCGCGATGGCCGTGTTGAGCTGCCGGAACACTGGCGAGGGGCAGGCAGGGCGTGAGTGCGGGGAGCGGGGCCATGTGCCGGAGGCGCGGGGCCACCTGAGTGACGGGGATGGCCCGCGGAGGGCGAGGCCTTCGGGGCGACGCCCACGGCAGGTCACAGCACCCCTGGTGCTGGGGTGAAGATGGCGGAGGCTGGGGAGCCTGCCTGACCGCTCCCGGCTGGACGGGCGCTCAGATGCCCCAGTCCTGCACACAGGCCCTGATCTCTAGAGGGGCCTCAGGGGAGGCCTTGGTGGCTGCAGAGCCCAAGGCCTCATCTTACTGCAGCCGTAGACGGGCTCGGTCTGTCCACAGCAGTGGAGTGAGGACGCCGAGCTCTGCAACCCCCAAGGGACGCTGGCACTTCGGCTGTCCCTGGGCCAACCTCCCAGCCCGACAACCACCCTTTCATGAGCTCAACCAAGAGGCAGGAAAGGAATAAGGTGAGGCGGCCTCCCTGCGGGGTGAGCAGCACCCCAGGGGCCCGCAGGGGATCCAGAATGGGCCCTCAAGCCCTGGGGCGGGACCGTGGTGACGCGAGAATGCCTGGGCGGACCGGGGCACGTGCGCTCCCTCACCTTGGAAAGAATGACGCCACGCAGGCACACTCCCCGTGTGAAAGTGCAACACAAAAAGCGCTGCTCGGGTTTTAGACACGGAAGTGAGTATTCTGCACTGGCTTTTCCTCACCTAGCGCGCCTGTTTTCGCGCTCCCTCCCTGCTGTGCGGACAGACCCCGCCCCCTGCAGACCCCGCTGGGCACCCCCCCCCACCTCGGCCACATCCCATCCTGGGGGGCCCTCACCTAGTTTCTCTGGGGAGCCCCTGGCATGCGGGCCTGGCACGCCCCTTCTTTGTGCTTCATGCAGACATCAGTGTCCTTCTCCACCCTCCTGCCTGTGGACGCCCATGGGGCCCCCCCCAGCCCAGAACGGCCCTGGGGTGGGATGTGGCTGCTGCCGGCAGGCCCCTGCCCTGTGAGCGCCCTGCTTCTGCCCAGACTCAGGCAGCAGGCATGCCCCCCACTCCCAGGGCCCTGGGCAGGCCTTCCCAGGCACAGAAGGCCCAGCTCCCAGCTGCCCACTGGACAGGCCCAGACTGCGTCCAGTCACGGGAACGCCCAGAGGCTGCCTGGATCCTCCGCTTCCTAAATCCAGATTTTTCCCTTAAAAAGGCATTTGTTTGCCTCTGGCCCTCCTGTGGAGAGCACTGAGTCACCACGAGTTGCTCCGAGGCTGCCGCCCGTCACCTCTGCAGCCCGAGTTCCTGTCCAGAGCTGCCAGGTTCCGGGCTGGGAAGTCCAGCATGACTCAGAGGCCTTTGACAGCAGAAATCAGGTGGGACTCCCAACCACCATCCGGGCGGAGTCTGCTGATGCCCGAGGCCAGGCCTCGCTCCGGCCAGGCCCCTGAGGAGGGCGCTCCCGGCAGTCCCTGCCGCAGACCCTCCTGGCCCGGGGCCCCCAGGGAGGTCCTCCTGGTGCAGCACTCTGGACACAGCCTCTGGGGCCTGTGCCCTGCAGGGTGAGGGAGGCTGTGCTTTGGGGCCTGGACTCCCGGGGTTAGGTGAAGCAGCCAGCCGGGCTGCCAGAGGCAGCGCCAGTGCCTCCCTCCCAGGCCCTGCAGGCTGAGGGCTCGCTCAGACCCCACTGTCCGCTCGGTCGGCTCACCTGACTCGGAAAGCTTCAGCTCACAGTCCATGTAGTCAAACATCTCCACGGTGAGCTGGAAGCTGTGGGAAGGCAGGGGAGAGATGGGTGGGAGGGGGGGCATGCCCCACCGGTCCTGAGGGCGCCCCCAGGAGGAGGAGCACAGTTCACATAGGCCTTTGCTAGGGACGCAGACGCCTGATTCCAAATCAACCCCCCCCTTTGCCTTTAGACTCCTCGCCTGTGCACACGACCTCCAGCCCCCAAAGCCACGGAGCACATCGGCCCCAGAGCCGGGTGTGGGTCCCGAGGAGCAGCAGGGAGGCGAGAGGGACTCACGTGTTGTTGACGTCCGTGCCCGCTGCCTTCTCTAGCACCTCGTCTGTCACCTCCAAGCCTGCGGGAAACTGGGGGTGCTGCGGAGAGGACACCCCCACTCAACCATGGCCCACACTAGCTCTGGCCCAGACCCAGCTCTGATTCTCAAGGGGTAGAGGCGGGGAAGTCCCAGGCTGCGGAGCCGCCATCTGCCTGGGGCCCAGCGAGGGCCTGAGGACAGGAGAGACCAGGGATGCGCCCCGCCCCGGGGCCAGGGTCAAGGTTGGGACAGGACAGATCCCGCCCCCTCTGCAGGCCGACCCTCCCCCCCCAGGGTGCCGTGGCGCGATAACCCCCACATCCTCCCAGAGAAACTACCTTGAGGTGGAAGGAGATTTTGGTCAGTAGGAGCTTGGTGTAGACGCTCACCAGCTGTCCGTACCGGTCATGCAAGTGCCCCTGTGGACACAGAAGCCCAGGTCAGGCCCACGCCCAGGAACCTGCCCAAGAACCCGGGGCCTGCCCCAGGCAAACAAGCCAACTGAGGTGGGCAGCTGCCAGGGCCAGTGCCTCCTTGGCCCCAGACTCGGGCTCACCCCACCAGAGGCGGCTCACTGCCGACCTGAGGGGCTCACCCATCTCCCCCTTTGCCCACAGCTTTTTTAAAATCTTACCCCTTGTCATGCTTACCAAAGAAACTCTTGTGACAAGAGAGCTCTGCCCCAGGGCCACAGGCCAATTCCGAGTCGGGAGACTTTATTAAAATGCTGGTGGCGGCCGGGGAGGCACATTCCGACGCGCGCGGACTCGCCCTCCCGGCCTCCCCTGTCCCTCTACACACCCTGTCCCCTGCGGCCAGGCCAGCGGGGCCTGTGTCAGCAAACGGCATCAGGTGCCCTTTCCTGTCTCCAACGGCCATCCCTAACGCACAGCGCTCTGGGATGCTCCTCCCCAGGGGCCTTGGGGCAGCTCTAGAATACTAGCTCCCAGGGCTCTGAGACTTCACCAGGGGCCAGAAGCTTCCAGGGAGCTTGTTGAAAGCAGATCCCCGAGGCCAAGATCCTAGAGCAGCTGGTCTGTGGGGAAGGGGAGTCTGCAGCCTCGCCCGGGCGCCAAGCGCCGCAGTGGACACACATGGCCCTGGGGTCAGGGCGGCCACAGTTGCCACTCACAGGGACGAGGGCTGGGGTTTCCGCAGTGGCAGGGTCCGGGCAGTCAGGAGTCTACACCTTCCGGCCAGGAGCACAGCTGCCCCCGCCGCCACCCCAACCAGGACTCGGCCCCGCAGGTGCCCCCAGCCCTGCGTGCCCTGGGACTCCGAGACAAGCTGTGGCTGGACTTGGGGGACAGGCCCCCCCCACACCTACCCACAGATCTCCAATCTCCCGAACGTTGCTCCGGTACCGCTGGCAATCGTGCAACACCTGCACATGGAGGAGGGGACAGGAGGAGGAAGAATCTAGCACCTCGAGGAAGGGCCTGACGCATGTGATCCCAGCAGCCGAGGGCAGGGAGGGCCAGCAGGAGCCGAGGGACACAGACTCAGGGGGCTTCTCACGCCAAGGAGCCCACCCTGCCTGCCTAAGTGCCCGGCTCCCCAACCCTGTGCTGCCCTGGGGGCCTGGTGGGTGGGACAGGTCTGTGGGCAGCGGCTACTCACATTGGGGTGCCCATCTCGAAGGACCTTGTGAAGGACGTGGCAGAACTTCCAGCTGAGGATGGAGCTGCTGGCAAGCGGCAGGCCGATGGCGTAGGACCAGAAAGTGAAAGCGCCCTTCTCGTGGTGAGTGCCCAGGATGATGCCTGCCAGGGTCAAGGCCAAGTGCAGGAGCAGAGACGAGAGCATGGGGGTGTCAGCAAGAGGAGCTGAGGGCGCAGGGGAGAAGCCTGGAGGCCCCCCCGCCACATCCCTCTCCCTCTGTGGACACAGCCCACGACTATCATGGCCCAAAGGCCTAGGAGCGCAGATGCCCATGTGAGGCAGGACCCAGGGCGGTGGGACGAGGCCAAGACCCCAAAGGACACGCCCCATTGTGCTCCCGGTCTCCAGGAAGGTGGACTTTGTGAAGCCCTGGCAGCCCCCCCCCCCACCAGGACCACACTGCTCCCCAGTGGACCCCACCAAGCACAGGCAGGGAGGATACGGCGGGCATGCTTCTCCTTCACCGGGGCCTCCTGGGTGTTGATGGCTTTGCTGATGCTGATGGCCTGTGGGGACGGGAGGCGGAGATCAGAAAGCCGCGGGCAGCCTTCCCCTGGCGAGGCCACCCCAAGAGCACCGACAGGACTTGCTCTTCCCGCCAGTCAGAGGGGCAGCAGCGCGGAGGGAGAGCAGGCTCTGAGCACCTAAGCAAAGCAGGCCCCAAAGACTGTTCTTTCTCTTGGTCTGTGCAGCTCTCTGCAGCCGCGGCCCACAGCCACGGGCCCCAGGAGTGCCCAGCTTCCAGAAGGAGGTTCCCTGTGTCTGCAGGGGACCACCCCTGGGCTGAACCCCACAAGTGCTTTGCTCTCCCTGGAAGGCGTGACCCCTGGCCCAGGGGAGTGGCAGGGCCTGCCTCCTCCTCTGGGACAAGCGGCTGGGCCCTGGACCCCATGTCCCCCCCACCTCAGCGCTGACTGGGCCCACACAGCCACTGTGGAAAACCAGGACACACCTGGCCTGTGGCCTGTCAGCCAAGCCGGGCGCCTCTCTCCTGGCAGAAGCACCGGCCCCACCAACTCAGCCGGCCCCCTCGGCCCCAAGGCAGTGGCAGTGTGAGGGTGGTGCCCGCTCAGCACAGCGCAGTGGCCTCTCTGAGCCGGCGGTGCCCGTCTCCTGCAGGTCCTCGCCAGGGCCCACGCTGCCTGCCTCCAGGACACCAGGGGGGCGGCGGGGCTGACCAGGGTTCAAGGTGATGCACGCTCACCCTGCAGCCCCCAATGCTGCCTCGCACACAGCGGGCGGTCCGGGGCAGCACCGGGCATGCTGTCCTCAGAGGGCATGTGAACAGGAGTGACTGCCCTGCCTGGCACGGAGGCGACGGCATTCATTTCCCGATCCACTGGGACCTGACTCTGGACCTACCGGGCAAGGCTGAGGGACTGTCTGCTGGCGCGGCCGCGGGCGCGAAGGCGGTCCTTTCTGAGCAGACGGCAGTCCCAGGAGCCAGAGGCAGGGCTGGCCGTGGGCAGGCTGACCTCCTTTCACACACAGTGCCCATTGTGACCCACGACTGGGGTGCGGGGAGTCCCAGGGCTGTGGCCACACACCACACTGGGGCCCCGGGACCACCAGCGCAGGGCCCAGGTGGAGCGGGAAGGGCTCCCCGCCTCCCGGGGGAGTGCAGGCGTGCTCTGCTCTCTACTCTCCACGCCCTCACGAGCCAGAGCCGGGGAAGGCCTCCTTGGCCACCTGCTCTTGTGTCTGCCGGGCCGCCAGCACCGCCTCCTGGAGAGGCCGCCCTTCGCCAAGTGTCACTGAGCAGCCTGGGGAGAAGCTGGGGCACCACACGCCTCCTACCACGGGACAGCCCCCCCCAGAGCTCCTGCATGCCGGGGCCACGGCCTCACAGCCCCCCCTCCCGTGCCGGGCACAGGCAACACACCACGCAGCAGCACCCCGGGAAGGCGCTGCGCCCGTCCTCCAACGAGGAAACAGGCAGAGAGAGCCGGGTCAGGCTGCCCCACGCTGCCCTCCAGCTGCCCGGGCCCCTCCTCCCTGCACGTGTGGAGCAGCGCCCCGGCCAGGGCTGCCCCCAGCAGCTGCCGGCAGCGAGCAGCTCCTAAGCCAGGAGCGCGCGTCCCCAGGGTGTGCCAGCACACCGCCACCTGCCTCCGCCACGACTGCCCCCCGCCCCGGCCGGGCGGGGAGAGGCCGGCAGCAGCAGAGCCGAGGCGGCCCTGCGCAGGCCCAGGAGCTGGCGGCGGCCAGGCGAGCAGACGCGGGAGGCCCCCTTCGCCTCGGGCCTGCAGCTGGAGAGCAGCTGTGGAGACAGCCCGGAGGACGGGGCTGGCTGGGGGGCAGTGGGGGAGGACGGCGGGCTGCGAGCTGAGCCAAGGTCAGGCCGCCCCCGCCGCGCACGGGCCTTTCCCTTCCTCGGCGGCCCCGCTGAGGCTCTCACCCCCAAGAAGGGCACCACCGGGGGCTCCGCGCACCCGTCACCCCCTGCTGCCTCCCTGTTCAGTCTCAGCCGCCGCAGCCCCGCTGACGGCGAAGCGCTGTCCTGGCGCGTCCCGCACCCACCTCTCCCGAGCGCCAGGCCGCGAGGGAAGCGGTTCTGCCCCCACCCACCCACCCAGCATGTGGGAGATTTTTTCAAAGCGGTGATGGAGGCTCAGGGACCGGTGAGATGTGGGGACGCGGGCACGGCGCCCCACGGGCCCCTCAGGGCCGCCGCTCCGGCTGGCGGAGGAACACGGCGCTGTTGTGCGGGCGCAGATGCGTGCCGGCCGCCGGACAAGGAGGCACAGTGCTCACACAGAGGGCGTCTGTGGCCGCTTCACAGGGCCCCACTTTTCCTACCAGGCGCAGCAGCCAGCCTCGTCCCAGGACGGGACGTCAGGCCTGGGAGCCTGGCCACCCAGCCTGAGAGCGAGCCGCACAGAGATGGGGTGAGCACGGGCGCTCAGCTTTGGAGCTGGGACCCAGGCCAGCTTCTGGGGTGCCCAGCAGCAGCAGCACTGTCCGCACCTCCCCCAGTGGCTGGGTGACAGGATAAGAGGAGCCCAGGGGCACTGGGCAGGTTCTCCCCAGGCCGCCAGCCAGGAAGGAGGCTCCTCTGCCCGCTACCTCCCTGGACCGGAATCGTTCCAGCAGCTCTGACAACCACCACTGGAGCCCTTTCAGCCTACGGGGTCAGTGACCATGGAGGGAACCTTCCAGAAGAAAGCTTCAAGTTGAAGGGATCAATTAGGAACCTCGGTTGCCAGGCTGGAGAGAGGGCCTCGGATCAGTCTGCCTGCCTGAGTCCTGGGGAGAAAGGAGCCTCGGCCAGGCTGAAGGGGGCTCCCCACTTCTCACCAGAGGCATGGATGGTGCCTAAGCGATAACAGTGGGTTTTGTGGCAGCAGAGAGACCCGTGGAAAGGCCCACGGGACACGTGTGCAAAGCCATGGGTGGGCAGGATGAGCTTCTCAGGCCGGGAGGGCAGGTGAGCAGCCAGTTCCCCTGGCCTTGTCCCACCCAGCCCAGCACTGAGGTGCTGACCTTTGGAAGGGTGGGGGGACAGGCCTGGTGGTCTGTGGCTCTGGAGACACAGTGGGAACGGCCGGCACTGAGGCGCTAGCAGGCGGCCCATCACAGGCCGCAGGGCCAGCCACCAGCCTCCGCGGCCTGATGGCGGGGGACGACTGACTCAGCTCCGTGCCAGGCATCGGGGCAGCACTCCGCCGCGTTATCTCTTGTGACCCGCTGAGTCACCCTGGAGGTTGGCAGATGAGGAAATCGAGACTCAAGGAGGTTACTCATTCGCCCAGGTCATCACAACAGAAATTAAATGTTGACCCGGCGCTTCGGCTCTGCGGGCCTGCTCCCGATCGGCCCCACTAACACAGACCAGCGAGCGCAGCACTGGGGGGCCCGGGGGCACCCTGTAGACCACAGCCCCCACCCACCCTGACTCGGGAGGATGGGGGTGCAGCAAGCGCCTGGATACTGACCTCCTTCTCTGCCCCGCCCAGGAGCGCCCCTCATGGAGGGCCTGGTCCACCTGTGAACGCAGATTCTGGATCCAGGACCTGTTCAGACCACGGGTCACACAGAAAGCTTGTGGGGCAACCCCACTGTTCTCCCATGCCCTCAGCTGAGGGCGCCTGACCTGACCCTGGCCTGCATCTCCGCCCCCTCACTGAGCGGCTGTCCTGAGCCAGGACGGGGCCCTCGGGAGACCTCTTGCCTGGGCCGTGTGGGCCCAACGGAGCCCGAGTCCTCAGGACACACCTGCCCTTGCTCCCGCGGACGTCAACAGCTCCGCCCTCCCGGAAGCCCACAGCCTCAGCAAGGGGGCAGAGCTGAGTGCCCTCGGAGGCGGCAGCCCTGGCCCTCTCTGAGACATGCGACATCATCAAGCCACGATGCCTCCTTCCCCAGGAGTCGGTGTTTGGGGTCAAACACAGGCCTCTTCCAGCTCTACCACAGCACCCTAAGCCTCAGACGCCGGTCCTGTCTCCCCAGGCCGCCTGGGGACCCCTCGTGTGGCGCCTTCCCCTTCCTAGGCTGCAGCGTCACCGCCTGTGAAGCAGGAATAAGAAGCCAGGCCTTCCGGAGCGTGCACACACACAAGCTATGCTCCACCATGGGCGGCGTCCTTCTGCGCCAAGTGGGTCCTACCCTCAGGCGCCCAGCGCTGGGCTAAGAGGAGCCCTCCTGGAGGGTCTCGCCCGTCAGCCTGGCTAAAGCAGCACCGCAGCCCCCACGGCACCCGTTTGCCTTTCCCTTTACCATCTTGTCTACCATTCATTCTCCGAGCCCTCCACGGAAGCCCCCGCTCAAGGGACCCGGTCCCTCGGCTCCCTGCTGCATCTCCAGGGCGCACACCGCGCCGGGCGCCCGTCTCCAGCGGGCGGGAGAAAGGGCGCGCGCGGGATGGAAGAGGCGCGTTCATTCGGCGCTGAGTAAATCCGAAACAGTGAGTGTCTCTTTCTCCAGCGAACAGTTTAACCACTGGAGTTAAATAGTAAAAGCAACTCTAAAACAATTTCTATTTTTAAAATCAACCCAGAAATGAATCAGACTGAAGCCTCCTGTTGCTGCCACGACGCTATTTACTAGCTGCACTCGGCGGGACAAAACGCCCTTCAGAGCGCCGGGGAGCGGGCCCGGCGGGAGCGGGGCTGTCTTCCTGCAGCCTTTCCAGACTTGTGTGAAGGACAGAGCGATCTCATTCAAAAGCTTCTGCCACCTCAAAGGCCACTGATGAAAGCAAACACAGGATTTCTGTAGCTGGGGAGCAGCTAGGATGTGGTCACATGCAAAGTGGGGAGGCGCCGAGGCCTGAGGTCTGCAGCCCTGTCCCCTGCAGCAGACAGGAAGTCGGGGGCCACTCACCCGCCTCTTCATCATACCCGGCCCCCGGGCCCAGGCCTCTCAATCAGTGTTTTTCAAACCGGAGGGCCCTACTGGGGGGCAGGAGCCCAGGGAGGTGTCTCCCTCTCGGTGGGACGCAGGTCACAAGTGCAGCCTGAGCCTCTGCCACCTCTCCCTGGGGGGCTGCAGGTGACACACAAGGAAA